TAACATTTAAGAATGACGTTATAACTGCTTGAATTGGAATCAAATGAACACAAAGAAAATAGTATTTTATCTTTCATATTTATTGTTTCACCGTCGTCCTGCATTCATGCGTCAGAAATTCGCTTGTCTCTCGTAGAAACACAAGGCAATTGGCTAGCTGTTGCTGCTTCCTAGCGGTATGGGAGGGGACTACACGATTAATTTCTGGGCGAAAGACCGCACAGGCATACATATTGGAGATTTTCCCGCTACACACCTGACAATGTCTCGCGTCACACCAGTGTGCCGCGGCGGCACACGGGTCGAAAAACACTGGCCAAATGAAAAAATGAAATCGTTCAGATTATTACACCGGATCATGTTGCAATTATTGACAGTAGATAAAATATTCTCGTTTTTCTTATCTTGCTGCAGAATCTTTTTCATGACCATTGATGAACCAATAACTTGCTGAAGTCATTCAAGATAATTGTACTTGTCTGCTTTTCACAGTCTTCATATTTTGAGTTGATCATCTACACAAATGACCGTTAAATCGTGTCTTTGAATTCTTAATATTTTATCATGTCCTCGGGAGGATAAAGCGGTTCAAATAACGGTTGGGTGGATGAAATCTCGGACCCTAAATGTCCCTGGAGGGAGTGCAATGCAGTGATGAAGTTGGATGGAAACGGCTGCAAGATTCAAGTTGAGCTGTTGAGCATTCCTGCTCCCTTCCTTTTCTCTACTGTGTGGAGTTAGTACGCATGTAAATTTGCCCTCATCCGAAACAGTGCGGTCAAGTCTTTCAAGCCTCAAATGGACCTCAGCTTTCATGCGAGGTGCCTCCGAAAGGGTGCGCCGCACCCACTTGGTTGGATAAAACGAAAGTAAACAGAAAGAAGGCACTTTCCAGTCGGCCATTTTGCATCGGAACTCTTCGTCCTGAGATGGCGGCAGGCGTTTCCTGTGCCATTTCCTCATTGCAGCCTGACTGCTGCTGCTCTCTGGTGAATGTCTCTTGTGCCGTACGCAATTGAATCTCTAGCAGGGGCAAGACACAGGATTTTATAGGACACGCGATACAAACCAAATGATTTCTTTTTCGTCTAAGGTCCGCTACGCTGGAATTCAATCTTTTTGGACATTCTGACCCCACTCACTCACCCAGCTGTTATTTACTTTGCCTCGTTTTGTCTTTCATCTATGACGGAAAATAGCGTGAAAGTCGCTCAATCATGTCGCGTCAGAAGTTTTGATGGATAAAGACTTTGGAGATACGCAGTCAAACAAAAGAGGCATTTAGGTGGGACATTGTTGGTGCGTTCATTTCAGTGAGCCATTTTCAATGAGCACATGCCCGAAAGGTGCTTCAAGAAGGGAGGCAAACAAGGATTGGACATCAGATCGGATGAGACCCAAGATAAAATCCCAGAAACACAAGCAGCATAAATTCAAAGGAACCAAAACCGTAAAATGACCAATCAAAAATTCATCTCAACCGCTCTCTCGGCGAATTTACAGAAACCAGGTAAAAACGCCACACGAGTTCTACATCAATGGGAGCGATTCAGACTCAGTATTTGTCGAATTACACGAATCATCAAATGGCAATGAAACACTGTACATTCTACTCGGCGTCGTGATAACAAGTTTGGATCCAGACGTATTTTGCAAGTCCAAGTGGCAAGAGCAGGTTTTGCAGTGACCGACGAAAGCACAGAAGAATCGAGGGGTGGCGCGCTGGGCCTCTGAGGAGGAATTTGGACATGACATCCGGTTGCTTCAGAAGGAAGATTGGATTGACGTGGCAGCAGGTGGAGGCTAGAATGTGATTGGGCCCAAATCATCTCATTCTGAAAGACCTTCAGACGAGAGAGACGACGAAATGAAGAGACTCGAGGGTTGGGAATCGGCGAATGCCGTTTCATGGATCGAATGCAGGACTCCAATTCAGCGCTTCTGATCACGCGGCGGCCAACCGAGACCGGCGTCCACGCTTGCGTCCCGCCCCCCTGCCATTTTACAGTAGATTCCCTTCTGGTCTGGTGGGTTCCTCGCTCCCGAACGCGACCGCCCCCGCCGCCGATCACCGCAATCTGGTCGATCGTCTCGGGTGTCTTCAGTCTGTGAGTGATCAGCAGCACGTTTCACTCAGAACGCCTCAACAGACCCTGCAGGACCTGCGCCGGGTGGGACAAACAGAGAATGTCTCGAGTCACATTTTTACGTTGAGGTTGCATTCAGCGTCGTAAGATGAGTTTGAGCTGGAGCTGAGGGCTGCGAGGTTCCCGGATCAAGAACTCTCGCTATTCGAGCCCAGTCGGACTGGCATCTTGCGTTCGATGGGCTCATCCAGGAGCTGGTGACTTCGTCCAGGATGAGGACCCGCGGCCGTCTGACCAGCGCTCGGGCGAAGGCCACGCGTTGCCGCTCGCTCTTGGACAGCAGGCCGCCCCCCTCACCGACCTCTGACAGACAATCACATCAGCGCGGCGCTCTTCTTCTCACCCGGACGCGCTCATCGGCAGAGGTTGAAGCGCGCAGGTCAAAAGTAAGTCTCAAGTTCTGGCCTGCACGGTTTTAGTGACGCAAGCCAAATCAAGCAGGCCCTGTGCCCACACGAACTGGCAACAACGGAGTTCACGTTGAGCCTCGGGAACACCGAGGTGAGTTTTGGCCGAGCAAGTCTCAAGTCTCCGAATCGGCGACAGCATACAAGGAGGAAGTCCGCTTGCGCTCACCCGTGTCGTAGCCCTTCTCCAGCCGTGAGGG